CACCAATTTGATCTTGACGCATGCCTTGAAGCGATCAGAGTGAGCAAGGCTATTGGTCGCCGCATGGTTTGCCTCCATTACTATGAAGTTTTGACTTTGCCCTTCAAACTTCTACGTCTTCAAAATTCAGGATCTCTCATTCATGGACTACGCTCAAAGTGAAGATGTTGACAACGTGGAACAGTTTGTAGACGTAAGTCTTCATTTTCTTTCAAGTAATACAGCTTGGCAGACAACATTCACATTTACACAGAAATTACGAAGTTCATTTGGATCGTAATGCTTTTAGAAAGTAAGCCAGTTAATATATAGAAACTGAAGGTCTGAGCTATGAATCTAGTTCTATGGAGTCAGACTCTTCATTTTCGCTGTCTGCTTCTCGGTCAATATCTGTCGAAGTTTTGTTAGTAGTAGTGTTGAGGTGATGTGTTGCTGACTTCGTAGAGATAGGTGAAACTGAGGTGCTATTTCTTGAACTATTCGCCAGTGCGTCCACAAACCCACACTTGCGTCGATACTGCCGGCAAGTATAGTGCTCTGGATACTTCTTGGCACAGGTCCTTTTCCATTGCTGACACTGCTCCAGTATTTTTACTCCACCCTGAAAACTTGATATTGTGGAACGATATCGTTGTGGAGCGCGGTTGTTTCACGCTGCTCCATGCTTTTGAAATATTCTTTCTTCAGTTTCATTCCTTTACGGTCAAATTGCGGTACTCGTAACTTTTTTGTGGAGAAGTGCTCAAGTAGCCCTTCTTTTTTTATTGCCAAATTGTTTTTGAATTCATTTTCCCTTTCTAACCTCCTGCTCTCCGGACTCTGTAGCCTCATCCGAGGAATTCGCTGGCCTGATGTTGCCGTCGGATGTGCTGTTGAGGTGAAGCTGTAGATCAACCGAGCGGCAATTTCGCTTGAATTGGCGGCATGCATAGTGCTTCGGGTACTTCTCTTCGCATTTCCGTTGCCACTTGTTACAAATTCGTTGGAGTTTTGGAGACACCTGAAAACGATATTTTATTGATACGTGTTTCGTGAGTTCACGAATTCTGTTCTTCATATTCCAGAAATCTGTGGCTCTTTTATAGATGCTCTAGATCATCGAATTGAATACTACATTATTCTTTCGTTTGGGAAGCAGAACATCCCCGGAATCAATCATTTATCGATAGCATTCCACTTTTTTGAGTAGGGGGGGGGTCGTACGCGGCAGGGCCTAGTATCAACAGTCGAGATGCCGAACAAGTCTGGTGGTGTGGTTCGGCGGGTCACCGCCAAAGGAAGAAGTGACGCCTGGACCCTTTGAATAGAAGATGCAGGTCAGATTCACAGGTCGGTGCCAGCCATGCTTTGCGATATTCGCGATGTATAGTGGACACACCCCTTATGCACACTTACTAGATGCGTGATCAAGCACACGTCACTCTCCAGCTGACACCACGCCTGGACCCCAAGTACGGATTCGAGTATAACTGTGCTCTCAAAACACCCAGCCGGCCTTCGCGCGACACTCAACGCGGCGATACGGCGACAGGACGCCCCGTCCGCGCCAGACCGTCAAGAAGGCAGAGTCGGACGAGTTGCAGCGCGTCCTGTACAGTGATTCAAAGTCGGCATCAAGTTAAAAGACACGTTCGCAATTGTATCGACGCGCCGAACAACCAAGCCAAAGCCGCCACCCACACAACCCCACGACCCCACCACACACATATTATATTTCACTAGAATATCGACAGAACCCACACCACCCGTCCACAACCGCAGACACACACCAGGAATGACTACCTGAAACAACCGAATCATGACCAACAAACACACCAGAAACACCCGCAAACCTGCGCACCCCCAATGCCTCGCAGCGACCCTAACACGATATCGCTAGACCACTGCGCTCTTGACGTGCGAATAGACCTTTCCTTGCGATACCGATATCCTGACCCACGCGCATGCGCGTAAAAGAAATTCGTCGATGTGTCATGAGCCAATGATACAATTTTGATGTCGTCTTCATGTCTCACCTATTGCCGTCGTCTATCAAACTCTCTGCTCGGACCGATCCTCCCATCAGTTGAATTGCGGTTCAACTAGGAAAATCCACATGTGTCCCACCATTTCTCGACTTTATATACATCTGCATCGACGCGAATACATGTTTCGGATCCAATTCCGATGCGCAATTCTTCCCGTTTCCATGGGAGTCTTATCTGGGAAATTCCTCAGAGCCTGCCCCTCTCAGAGCCTGAAAAAATGGAAGCAAAAATGTTTAGTTGTTCGAAAATTATGTTTCAGCCAATTTGATGTTGTATAGTTAGTCACTGGCTCACCTCGTGTCCTAATTTCTTCTGCACCTCGTCGCTTTTTGGGCAGCTTTCACGATAAAGAAAACAGTAGCCATGATTTTGACTTTGAGTCAAGCAATTGCGTTTCAATGAATCACACCCTCGATCGATATCAGTGAATGTCTGCAATTTGTGAAAAATTTGTGCCCTGAATATAAACAAGGAAATGATCGAGAAGCAGAGTCAGAAGGATTGAAAAGGAGAGGAAGCAGAGGCGAGCTGGAGGTGGGTTTAAAAGAGAAATATACAGTAAAAGAAAGAATGTTGTACTATGGAGTCAGGCTGTGTCAGTTTTGGTGACCTTCTTGTGGGCTTAATATGACGTACCCTCTATTTCGGAAGACCAGAAGAGCGTCGAGTGCAGACTACACACCACAAGTGACGATGGCCGAGAAAAAAGTGGATTTTTGGTGCTAAGTGAATTAGGGGGAGCACGCGGCGGCGCTATTCAAAGCGCCATGAGACTAAGCCTGAGGCTATGAAGGAAAGGGTAAGCTGTAAACATTATGATCTGTGATTAACTTTTGGCACATTTAAGCCTCCTTCTATGCCCAGGCCGCGTTCATAGTTCGCGACTCGGGAGATTAGGATAGTAGGCGACAGGATATTAGGATAGTAGTAGAGTAGGAGATTGCGCTGACAAGATTGGATACGTATCGATTGAAATCGCTGGAGAGTAGTAGATTGGGCGACTTCAAGCGAATAGATCAATACATATCTAATCTTGTCAGCGCACTATCCTAATCTACTACTATCCTAATCTCCTACTCTACTACTATCCTACTATCGTAATATCGCAATCTACTACTCTCCGGCGATTTCAATCGATACGTATCTAATCTTGTCAGCGCAATCTCCTACTCTACTACTATCGAAGTATACGTTTCAGCCATTTCCAGTTGTATAGTTAGTCACTGGCTCACCTCGTGTCCTAATTTCTTCTGCACCTCGTCGCTCTTTGGGCAGCTTTCACGATAAAGAAAACAGTAGCCATGATTTTGACTTTGAGTCAACGCACTTGCGTTTCCATGAGTCAGCAACTCGATCGATTCAGTGAAATTCTGCAATTGTAACAAATTTGTGCCTTGAGTAGTGAATGATCGAGACAGAGTGCATAGGAATTTGAAAGAGAAGAAAGCAAGAAGCGACTGAGGAAACTTTAAAATAGAGTAATTATACCGTAAATACAAGAATTTGTTGTTCATGAGTCATGCTAGGTGTCCCAGGTTAGGTGGCCTCTGAGGGACTGATCATGAACGTCCGCACGGCCCCCCCCCCGCCCGCCCCCCGCCGCCGCCGCCGCCGGCCCGCCCCCCCCCCCCCCCCCCCCCCCCCCCCCCCCCCCCCCCCCCCCCCCCCCCCCCCCCCCCCCCCCCCCCCCCCCCCCCCCCCCCCCCCCCCCCCCCCCCCCCCCCCCCCCCCCCCCCCCCCCCCCCCCCCCCCCCCCCCCCCCCCCCCCCCCCCCCCCCCCCCCCCCCCCCCCCCCCCCCCCCCCCCCCCCCCCCCCCCCCCCCCCCCCCCCCCCCCCCCCCCCCCCCCCCCCCCCCCCCCCCCCCCCCCCCCCCCCCCCCCCCCCCCCCCCCCCCCCCCCCCCCCCCCCCCCCCCCCCCCGCCCCCCGCCCCCCCCCCCCCCCCCCCCCCCCCCGCGCCCCCCCACCCCCCCTATTTCGAAAGACCAGAAAACGTCGAGTGCAGACTGTCAACACCACAAGTGAACTCGCCGAGAAAAAAGTGCAGTGTGGCTAATGATTAGGCACGCGTGACGCTATTTAAGTGCATGAGATTAAAGGAACGATTTACGATAAGGAATTTTCGCCATCGAGGCAGAACCTGAAGATTATTTGCTGGCTAAGGAAGCGAAGTGTGGTCCTCCCACGGCGAAAGGTGCTGTGGTTGCTGAGCAGGACCCGTGTGACGCCCCGCCCCCTGTGACGTGACGCCCACTAGTTCTGTTGATGATCTGGATGGACTGTTTGCTGTTGGCTTTTCATTTGGATGATCATTTCCCTTCTAGCGGCTGTATCTTCCCAACTTGCCCACGTATTGCCTTATCAATCAAAACACTATGCTTGTTGGCATGATGGCAGCTATCGGGGTTAACACGTCCGAACAAACGTCGTCTTTACCGTCGCTCATCCATGGTCGAAAATGAAAGGGCAATCAAAGGGGTACCATTTTGCTTATTTTCGACGGATTTCTTTGCTTTTTTCGCCATTGGCGTACTATTGAGACCCCCACGTCCCCTCTAAACCCCTTTGAGATCTATCGTAATCGCTTCCTTCTTTTTTTTTTTGTTTTTTTTTTTTTATTTTTTTGTTTTTTTTTTTTTTTAAGCCTGAGCCCATGAAGGAAAGGTAGAACTGTAAAACAGTAGATCTTGTGAGTAACTTTGGCAGCATTCCGAGCTCTCCTTCTATCGCTCCATGTTAGGCCGCGTTCATAGTTCGCGACTCGGGAGATTAGGATAGTAGGCGACAGGATATTAGGATAGTAGTAGAGTAGGAGATTGCGCTGACAAGATTGGATACGTATCGATTGAAATCGCTGGAGAGTAGTAGATTGGGCGACTTCAAGCGAATAGATCAATACTAATAATCTGGTCAGCGCACTACTCCTAATCTACTACTATCCTAATCTCCTACTCTACTACTATCCTACTATCGTAATATCGCAATCTACTACTCTCCAGCGATTTCAATCGATACGTATCTAATCTTGTCAGCGCAATATCCTACTCTCTCCCACTATCCTAATCTACTACTATCCTAATCTCCCCGTCAATACATATGTTTTTCATTGTCGCGTATCTATCCTAACCTCCGGAA